ACTAATGAGGACTTTAGCTATTCGGGACGGTGGCTTCAAAAAAATATAGCACAGTGACCGAGTCAAGGATTGGAGTTTTCAGTTCGCCGTTAACAATTTAGCTCATAGAGAATTCAAGGATCGACGATGATAACGAGTACAAGCTCCTGACGTTTCGTACTCGTAGTTAAAATTAGTCCCTTTAGAGGACATGTGCTTAGCGGTACTGAATAGTAAACGAAGTAACATTGTTGAATTGTTGATTGTAACATTCGCCATTTTTACATTGCCCATAATGCACCTCGCTATAAACATTGTTTTTGCTTTTCCTTGGAACGACTGTAACATACAAAATTACGCAAAAGGTTGGGGGTAAATATTGTCTATTATGGGCAATGTGATAGTAACGAGTACGCCAAAATCAAGCAGGGAAAGAAAGGTTCTGCTGGTAGAGTGTAGAGAATTGTAAACGACATTAACAGTGAATGCTGTGAATGTTTTCTGAACCTATCAAACTATCAAAACCAGGCAGGGTGTTTACCTAGTGTCGGTATGACGTCTTCCCAGGCCTTCTAGATCAATGCATTTTGTAGGACTAGGCCGCGTGGAATAATGAGGCCAAGAAACTAAGCTTTAGCAAGTGCGTTACTTGCCATAAGCCAGTATAGGCACAAAACTGGATGATTAGGCATTAACATCGATGAATGAAAAGATAAAAAACTATGAAGGAATATGGATTTACTTCCAATCTGATTTCCGTATTGAAATGAACGCGATTTTTTTTTGTTTCGCGAGCCGCTTTATTTACTGAACTTTTACAAGTTGTCTCCTAGGGCCCAGTTGTTAGCGTTAACCCGGGCTTAAAGTTAATCCAGGCTTCTTTATCTTTTCTTTAAAGAATCTTCTCGGATATTTTTCTCTATTCTTTTTATTTCATCCAGTTACCAAAGTGTGGACAAAAAGAATTAAACTGAATTTTCTTTTTAAGGTTTCATATCTGAATTAAAATTTAGCACTAACCTTAGGTTACCATAACCTAGCTTTGAACAACCCTGTCCAGTACAGCACGCAAAAAATACGGCAGCTTTCAAGAACTGTCAAGTAAAGAACAAGATGTTTCATGACGGTGGTTAACTGTCAAGTATTATTTGACCATTCATAAGAGTAGTGTTTTTACTGTATTTTGGCTGCATTTGAAAGCTCGGCTACGTGAGTGACGGTAAGTAAAATTCAAAGAAATTTTAGAAAATTATCGACATGCCAAATCAGACTATCAGTACCCATAACGAGTCCAAATAAATCTTTTGTTACCTTTACGTATTAAAAGGGTATAACAATTATAGGTTATTAGTCTTGTTTGACATCCATATCTAGACCCGTTTAGGTCTAAAATGTGGATTTCAACGATTTTTAACGATTAAGGGCCGGTGATAACATTGTATTGCTTAGTGACCTACCTTGCAGCATCAAACAACAGTTCGTCCATCAAATCGCGCTTCTCAATTACTAAACAACCTTTCAAAACAGTGCCTGAATATCATATATGGAGACGAAACTAACAATTTATTATCAAGACTTAGCTTAATGTAACTTATATTCTTTTCCATTAGTGTTCCTTTTTTATGCGAGTTGAAAAGTAATCAACAGCTCATAACAGACTCTCTCTGAATATATATGTTGCCAGCTTAATTAATGCATTAATTTAATATGCTTTCAGCCAGCTATTACTGTTCTGAAAGCAGATTAAATTATTGCATTAAGCTGGCAACATATATATTTAGAACGGTAATGACACTTCTACATACGCCAGCAAACTCATTCCTAAAAAGGCGTAAACGTTTTAGCGAAAAATATAACATCAACAATAACAACAACAAAACATGAAAGCTATCATAACCATCAAGCTACATTTTTTTATGGTTGTGGCATATTTTATCCAATCGGATTTTTTGAAAAGGAGCCTAGCAAAATTAACAACTTTGAGGTGGAAAAGAGCCAAAAGGCAGGATTTTTTGCGCCTGATAATTACGGCCAAACATCACATTCAGCCCCCTTCAACACGTATCCTGATATTTTTTAATCCACAACATTTTTGATCCGTTTTAAAAAAAATTCCACCTACACAGATACACGTATTCAAACCGATTCACTGGACTCCTCTGGGAATCTTCGTAGCGTCGGTTCCATGTCTTCGAGTTGTCGTGTCCTTCGTTCGTGTGATCGTATTGTCTTCTTCGGGGCACCGCTGGCCCTTCAGTCGTTTCGTCAATCCCTTTCGACGGTTGCTACGTGGTTGCGTCGTTTTCATGTCTTCGTGTCGTCCGTTTTTCCTTTCGTCGACTTTGCTACATATTTAGTTTAGAACTTTTCGAAACTCTGCATTTCTTTTAACTGCTGTAATCGCGTTCTCTTTTAAATACGAATAAATCACAAGACCAGAATGTTTTCTCGACATTTTCACAGCCATAAAATGCAGCTGTTACTCCTTTTGGGCCTTTTTACAGACCGAAATGACAGATTTCCCTACCCTTTCATATACTTCATTTAGTAAAATCCCTACCCCGTCATATACCTGAAGCATGAAAAAGTAACCCATTTCGGGCGGTGTCTCCCCATATACATAGGCCATTATACGGAGTACCCCACCACTCTCCGAGTATTTAATTTAGTACATAAAAACTGGACCGTACAAACAAATTATCCGCAAAAAGGAAACGCTTCTATTGAAATGAATGCCAGTTTTGACATACGTATCAAAGTATGTATTAAAGCATAGAAAAAAGGTAAGTTCATTGGAAAATTAACTAAATTCAAAAATGATCATCACATTTTCACATCGTAGTGTTTCACTAGATATTGTAGATTTGTGGTGAATGAATTCTAAGAAGGCCACAAAACTCTGAGGAAGCAAATGCCAGTGCCAAAGAAAGTTAAATTTTTTTAATTTGCACTTAAGTGGACAATGATATTCAAGAAAGCATTAATTATTTTAACAGATAAATAGCCATTTCATTTATCAACAGTTAAGTGTAAACAGAGCAAATCATATCTGAACACTTTTTATTTAAAGAACATCTTTACAATGCTAAAAGTTTTCATTCTTGTTTGGGGGAAAACCTTTTTTTTCTTGCCGAGCTTTGCTTTTTTAAACACTGCTAATTTTTCCGCTGAGAGGATCTTGTCTTGTTCTGCGTCCGAGAATAAGCAGAAGTCACGCGTTCATGATTGTTTTTGCTGGTTTATAAAAACAGCTTTCTATCGGTAATTCGTTTCCCTTTCTTTAAAGGAGCTTGTAATCTGTTGCCTTCTCCAGCGATGGAAGGAAATGCCCGCTTTTTAGAGTGAACAATAAATTCAAATTTACAAGTAATCAGAAAGCAAGCACTCAAAAATTAACGCTCGATCTTTCCAGAAAACCGACAATCTATTAATAATTAATATAACTCGAATATTAACTTGCTTCAGGTCTTTTTCGAGAGCGTTAGCAAAGGATCGTGTGGATGCAAAAGGGGATGCAGGGGCGGACCCAGAAAATCCAGAAAGGGATGGCCGGGATACTTGTCAGCTATATAGATACTTTTTTATGTTTCAGAGCATTTTATAAAAATAATACAAAATTTCAAAGAAAAAGGGGTGGCCGCGGTCCCCTCGGCCAGCCCCTAAATCAGCCTTTGGGAGTATGACTGCTGTTCTTCACTTTTATTCTCAATTTTGGCAAGAGCGTCCTTTGCCATATTGTTTTGGCCTGTGTGAACCTCGTGCAACTAAGGCGGGAAAAGTTGACTTAGCTTATTGCTGTCTTGTATGTAGCTCCGTCGACGAAAAGAAGAACCGAAGAAGTAAGGACATGAAAATGACGTAACGACGAAACAAGCCCATTGCGACGCCTCGAGGAAAAGGTTATAACGAAAGAAAAATTTCACCACATGAAGAAAGGCCAGGGGTGCCTCGAAGAAAATAGTACAATGAAACCAACGAGGGACATGACGATTCGAAGGGATGGAACCTACGCCACGGCGACAACAAACAATAACTTGAAGAACAATTGTTGAAGCGAAGAAGTGTTTGCGGGGCAATGAAAAGTGAGTAACGATTTTGTCACGATCTGACGTCATACCATGTGTTAGCTCGATTACCAGCCGCTGTTCGGGAAATGAGCCCGCGCTCGGACGGTAGAGAGCGGTGGCAATGGAGCCTAGATACGTGTGGACGGCCTCTCAGTAGCAAAGGAAGAGGAAAGGAACAATAATAGCCAGAGCAAAAGGATCGAACGCCAACGGAGGAAAAGAAAAGCTAACTTTGGCGTTTTTGGACGAAAAAAAACTGGCACGCAACTAAATTATGTTGAATAATTCTTGGGATCAGGAATTCTTTGGAGTAAAACACAAATGTTTAGCATAATTGTTAGTTTCCTCGTTAATCCCTTACTCTTTCTAGTAACACCCTTTTAAAATGGACCTGTTCCATTCTCTAGATGATATGGCTTTTATGCACCCGGAAAACTTCCTGTGAAAATTGTTAGGTTAGTTGTATGGGCCGTAATATTCCTTTAAGACCACTAGTCCTGTTAGAAGGCACTACTCGAATCAGTGTTTTCCTTAGGTTTGCTGAAAGCTCGACATAGAAGAGAGATGTTAAAAGAATATTAATTCTCGAGAGAAGTGATTGTTATAATCAGTGCCATCAAAAGCCTGATATATTGAGATAATGTCATCATGTTGTAAATGCCTGATGAACTGTGAATTTCTTACTCCGTATCGGATTCACCCCACTTTACGCATCCCTTACACTAAAATTCAGTATTAGTGGGAAATTAGAGGAAACAGCATCTTTTTTTTTTTATTTCACTGCATTAGGAAAACTAAAACAAAATAGAACTAAGCTGAAGATCAACTCTCAAATGGGATTCAAAATTAACAACATCCGTTAAAACCCTTCATTTTTTAAAAAAATCTATGTCTATTTAGAGCTGTTGTTTCTTTCACTACGGCAGGCTATATTTCAGTTCCTTGACTTCAAGTTTATCGAGCAAAAGCTACAATAGCGCATGACAACAGCATGATGGCGCTAAGCATTGGTGCTTCGGCTCCATTGCACAGGTCTCCTTTACAGCAGTCGAGTTCGCATTTGGTGATGTTCACCGAGGCGTTGTCCCGTGTGCAGTTCTTCGCGCTGCATGCAGATGACTTGGCACATCCTTTGGCAAAGAGTTCAGAGTTCGGCTCGCCTGAGATGATCTCACCTTTTACATTCTGTTTAACACAACGGTCCCAACCGTTGTTGTCCCGTGTGCAGTTCTTCGCGCTGCATGCAGATGACTTGGCACATCCTTTGGCAAAGAGTTCAGAGTTCGGCTCGCCTGAGATGATCTCACCTTTTACATTCTGTTTAACACAACGGTCCCAACCGTCCAGACAGATTACCGGTATTTTACTGTCTTGGCAGTCATGCCAGCTCTTAACAGAGAAACATTGGTAGCATTTCAGGGCATAACCTGGAAAAAAGAAACAAATATGAAAATAGAATTAATAGCCTGAATCTCGAAGGCCGACACACCTAACTATCCCATAGTAACAATTCAATATTTTTGTTTTTCGACGCTTAAACCATTTGGTATTAAATGGATATTGAACCTTTGCCCATCACCTCATTTCTTCAGACAAGCATTTCTCATGGAAAAACGCGCGAAATGTTGGACAAACTTGTAGAGGACTGACACAATTCAGTTTGGTCTGCGTTGCTAAAGGAAAGTGGCAACATTTAAGGTGTTTCGATATAGTTTTTCAGAGGCCATACCGATATTTTTCAATCGCTTTAAAAGTGATCTAATCCTTGTCTGATTACTATAAAATTTTCTCCAATGATTGACTATAGATTGAAATTTGTCAAAATGTAAGTTTTATTAAAATCTATATTACCATGACAAGAATAAACAAAAAACTTTGAAATTGATAAACGCCAAATTTTGCACGATCTAGACCAGCTACTGAAAAACCAATAATAGGAACTTAAAGTTTGGTGTTTAGTAAGAAGTAAAAAATTCTGTATGTTTGAATTCGACTAAAACGAAAATATATTTCAAACCTTAAATTTTCAATAGCCGTGATAGATTATTTAATAAAAACGTTATAAATGACTCAAATTATTCTTAAGTAACGTCAGAATGATGCAATGACTAGTACATTTCATTGTGAATATCGTTAATGTTTTACATTCAAAAGATGCGATAAATTCAATCTAAAATGTACTAGTCATGAAGGTATGTATAGTGAAATTTAAGTTCCTAGTGTTGGATTTTCAGTAGCTGGTCTAGATCATACAAAATTCGTCTTTTATCAATTTCAAAGTTTTTTGTTTATTGTTGTCATAGTAATATCGATTTTACTGAAAACTACATTTTCACAAATTTCAATCCATATCCAATTACTGGTGAAAATTTTGTAGCGATCGAACGAGGAAAAAACTACTTTCAAGGCGATTGAAAAATATCGGTATAGCGTCTGAAAAACTGTATCGAAACACCTTAAGCAACAACAACAATAAGCTTTATTTGTATGATTATAACAAAGTATTAGGCCCGGTTCAGACGCCGAACTTTTCATAAGCCGAACCTAATTGGAATTAAGGCGGACCCAAATTATTTAGACTGGCTGAATTGATTCAGACGCCGATTTTAATTGCAGCTCAGCTAAGTTCAAAAGGCGAAAAATGTTCATTTCAGTCAACTGCTTGCAAAATAAGTTATAATAATTTATGCATTAGGTTCGTTACATGAAAAATTCGGCGTGTGAATCAAAGCCATTCTCTAAAGGCGAAATTCCGGGCCGGGCTAGGCGAAAAGAACGGCTGAGCCGTTCCAAATTGAAACGGGCGTTCCTAATTGATTCAAACGCTTTTCACGTACTTAATTTAATGTATTAGCTTCGGCTCATGAAAAGATCAGCGTCTGAACCGTGCCTTACAGTATTGCAAAAGTTACTTGAACTTAATTATTGATTCCTTTTTAAATTAAATATTCAAAATAACTTTAATTACTATATAAACACCAGTGAAATACCTAGTGAGCTTTCGCGCGAAAACATGATATTTTCACACTTGAAAATAACATGTTATCTTCACATGAGAAAAGATCACCGTTGCTTTTTCCTTTGAAATATATTTTCAACACTCGAAGAAATTTTGTATCTCCTCGAAGCAATGTAATCTCCTCTATAAATATTAATCATTACCTATTTTCAACCAGTAGGATTAATTAGATTAATTATTTCAGAAACAAGTTTGTCTCTCAGTTCAAAGCAAGATGATATAAATGAAATTTGAAATAGTCAGTAGAATTCAATAGGTTTGATAATAAGGTCTCATGTGATTGTAGTCGTAGAAATGGTATTGTAGGCTCTAGTTTAGAGAAGAACATCTCTCTTGTGGAAGAAAAACTTGGACAATCTAATAAAAAGTGAGTTTCATCTTCAATTCTGTCACAATTGCCTTTCATCACGTGGTATATTGTCGTAACTACCTGTTTTAATCCTAAGTTTGTGACTGCTTATTCTCAGTTTCACCAATGGTTTCCTAGAAGGGTTCTTTCTTGTTAGATCTAGCTAGGCAGGGGAGCTATAATTCGTTTTGATTTTGTAATAAAAGTTAAGTTTTTGTGAATGTTGAAGGGTATGATTCCAGTACGAGATATATTTCTTTTGCATAAGATCTACAAATTCCTTAATTTTACATTCATTCAGTAAACTACAATTTAAGTCTGGGATATTATAGTAGTCAGGCTATCGTATTATACCGATAATCAAATAAACGCTTTCTATATTACGTAAGGACGGCGCTCAGGTGACTCAGATCACTAAAATAACAGGAACTGACCGCGTGCTTTCTTGGAATGCGCATCCTTTTTTCGGTTTTTCCGCGTTTGTGGAATCGACTAAAGAATCTCACAGAATTGGAGAGCATTTTAATTCGACTCGTGCTTTTCGTTAAATTCATCCACGAATACTCACACCACGTACAGAATCCTTGGAAATCAGAACTAAAAGAACGTTCGTCAACACCAAACACAAAGTTCGACAAAGTTACGCTACCTAGCCGACACTGCCCTCTCTTTGGCTCATTACCGTGCTAGATACTTTCCAACACAGCCGTTAAAGATGTGTTCAATTATTCTACTTAAATGCAAAAAACTGGAGGGTACAATCACGTTTATTTCTTTCCTAATATATCACTGGCTTATTAAACTCTTATCAAACGTTACGTTCCGAATGAAGCTATAAAGCAAGAGTGAAAATCATTGATGTTTGTCCGGATTGTGCGGATAGAAAGTGAGAAGCAAAATGGCGAGCCACACCCCATGATTCCGAGAAAGAAGATAAAGGACGCCAGCAAAGGGAACGGCGGGAAACTACGTACAGAGCAAATTTCCTTTGCATTTATATCCTAATCTAAACAAGAAAAAACAGATTGAACAAGACTAAAATAACTTACTGACTGAAAAGCAAAGAACAAAGGCGAGACCAAACAGGATCTTCATGTTGCAAGTTCTGTACAATTCTCCACTGCTGCTGAGGGGACACTTTAAGTGAACGCAAAATATCTCTGAACGCGTTTTATTAAAACACAGGCGATGCTATCTACTACCCTACTTTTAAGTTGGGTAGTAGAAGCGCATGTCAGTCTGCCAAGCCGATAATATCCAATAGAAACTCAAGGCAGTCCTAAATTTGATTGACAATTGCCAATCATAGCCAGAATAAACCCAATCAACGAATGTCGCATTTGGGCACTCAAAAGGCCACCCGTGATGCGACACGGTTTTTTGCGTTTTCCTAGAAACCGCCCCATCATTTACTTAGTACGGCACTGTGTAATTGGTTAACTATTTTTACCAAATATGTTTTTATTTCGTGCTTCCCTCGTGTCCTTAGTCTTATTGCAGCAGGAAGTCACACACAGGTTAAATCTCATTTCTAAATCGAAGAAAACGAAAACGAATCTTTCAGTATTCTCTCAGGATAGTCAGACTCAGGTGTATGAAAAGGCTTGGGTTAATTAAGATACTGGAGAAAATGAAGCAGGGTGGCTTTTCTACCACGTTAGTCAAGGTTATGATGCAAAACACACCCTGAAGGCATTACACAAGTTGACAAGAATCTCACAGAATTGGAGAGCATTTTAATTCGACTCTTGCTTTTAGTTAAATTCATCCACGAATACTCTCACTGCGTATAGAATCCTTGGAAATCAGAACTGAAAGAACGTTCGTCAACACCAAACACAAAGTTCCACAAAGTTACGCTACCTAGCCGACATCGCCCTCTCTTTGGCTCGTTACCGTGCTAGATACTTCCCAACACAGCCGTTAAAGATGTGTTCAATTATTCTACTCAAATGCAAAAAACTGGAGGGTACAATCACGTTTATTTCTTTCCTAATATTACACTGGCTTATTAAACTCTTATCAAACGTTAAGTTCCGAATGAAGTTATAAAGCAAGAGTGAAAATCATTGATGTTTGTCCGGATTGTGCGGATAGAAAGTGAGAAGCAAAATGGCGAGCCACACCCCATGATTCCGTGAAAGAAGATAAAGGACGCCAGTAAAGGGAACGGGCGGGAAACTACAGAGCAAATTTCCTTTGCATTTATATCCTAATCTAAACAAGAAAAAACAGATTGAACAAGACTAAGATAACTTACTGACTGAAAAGCAAAGAACAAAGGCGAGACCAAACAGGATCTTCATGTTGCAAGTTCTGTACAATTCTCCACGGCTGCTGAGGGGACACTTCAAGTGGACGCAAAATATCTCTGAACGCGTTCTATTAAAACACAGACGATGTTATCCACTACTCTACTTTTAAGTTGAGTAGTAGAAGTGCCTGTCAGTCTGTCAATTCTAAGTCTTTAAAAACCAATAGAAACCCATGTCACTCTTAAACAGGTTTTGTTGCCTTTTCCTAGAACCAGCATTTATTTAGTGCGGTACGTTGTAGTTCGTCTACTATTTTTGCCAAATTTGTTTTTGTTTCGTGCTTCCCTCTTGTCCTCAGTCTTATTACAGCAGGAAGTGACACAAAGGTTAAATCTCGTTTCTAAATCGAAGAAAACGAATCTTTCAGGATTCTTTCAGCATAGTCAGATTCAGGTGTATGAAAAGGCGTGGGTCCGTTAAGATACTGAAGAAAATGAAGCGGAGTGGCTTTTCTACCACGTTAGTCAAGGTTATGATGTAAAACACAGCCTGAAGGCATTACAGAAGTTGACAAGATGGGTCAAGCGACCGCAAATGATATAACTGAAATATCAGTAATTTTCTTTAGCAAGCGTACACCAACTTAACACAACTTGACATGCAAAAAATAAACGCGCAGGGATCTGTATAAATTAACCCAGTTGTGACAGTTAACCCCAGGTGCAGCAACCAGGGACTGTGTTATGGCTGGCTCGTTCATTTGTTTGTAATGCAAACTGTCAAACTACTGTTTGTCCGGTTGTCAATGCTTTCACCCAAAATGCAAAAACAAAGGAGTATTTTACTCTTCCCTTCTCTTCAAGTTTTTTCCTAACAGTTCATATTATTTGCTGACATTTCTCCTATCATCCTTTTTTACGTGAATGCAGTAAAAAGATGTTTCTACTTCGGGGATGGCTACAAGAAATGCGGAACTGCCGGTACGAGGCTTGGATACTTTCCAAATCAGTCAAGAATACAAAGCTCATAGAGTCCATAGAGTGTTTTTTTTTGCCTGTTGTTTCTCGACATGTCCGAATCTTGCTATAAAAAAACGCATTGGAGTGTTATTTCAGTCGCGAAAATAAAAGGAAAACAAACGGATAGGATTAAAATCGAAGGAAAGCAGTTTTAGGCCATACAACAAACAACCCTTAATCACGATATAGATTCCCGCGCAATTGCTGTCATTTGGTCCTTTAAATCAGCTTCGATCTTGTTCAAGTGTTTCTGCTGCAGTGGAGGAAGATTATATTTTTTTTTTTGGTGCCCACTTGGATGGGCACCAACATGGCCGACGGAACCAACAAAAACATCTGTTACCGAGTTTTGGTACAAAAGCGAAAAGTTGTATGAAAATTAGTTTTCAGCTGTCCTAATACATCATGAAAGTAAAATCTCAGTAGGATCGATAGTTTTGTAGTTTAAATTTCAGTGACGCCATGTGAAAACCAACAATAGATTCCCGCGCAGTTACTGTCATTTGCTTCTTTAAATCAGTTTCGTTCTTGCTGCAATGGAGGAAGATTATATTTTTTTCTCAGGAGAAGGAGAAGGAAGAGTAGAAAGACGAGCGAAAAAAACGCAGGTGACAGCTGAGAGACTGGCACAAATATTTCGAGTAGGTCATACTGCAGATTATTGTAATTGAGCTAATGTTTGCCAAGTGTTTTCGCGGGGAATGCATCTGACAACTATGGAAGAACTTGAAAGGCTGATGATGCCGGAACTCTAACGTCAACTATTTTGATTACTTTCCAGTTTCATGTGATGGGGTGGGGTCCGTGAGTATGCATCAGCTCTATTACAATAATCTGCGGTATGACTTACTCGAAATATTTGTGCCAAGCTCTCCGCTGTAACCCTGCGTTTTTTAGCTCGACTTTCTACTCTTCGTTCTCCTTCTCCTATGAAAAAAAATATAATATTCCTTCATTACAGCAAAATCGAAACCGTTTTAAAGAAGCAAATGACATCAATTGGGCGGGAATCTATTGTTGGTTTTCACATGACGTCACTAAAATTTAAACTACAAAAACTATCGATCCTACTGAGATCTTACTTTCATGATGTATAAGAGCAGCTGAAAACTAATTTTCATACAACTTTTCGCTCTTGTACCAAAACTCGGTCTTTGTATATTTACCTCGTTTCATTTCCCAGATTCCGGACTTTAACTATTGAACGGTTTTGATTTTTATTTTGATATGTTTTGAATGGCGTGACACTAAAAACCAGCAATCGTATTGTGATTGGCTGTTTTTCTTTACTTCCGTGTTAGTCTCATTTCCGTTTTGAGTGCAGAAAAAAATGAAAATTGACCACATATTTTTCATTTTTGTATGTTCCGAAAAAATGAAAATCAAACATAGCTTTTTATTATTTGAATTTTAATTTCAGAAAAAAAATAGAAAAAATTAAACATAGATGTTCACTTTTCTATGTTTAGAGAAATATGAAAATTGAAAAAAAAATTAAATTAAAAGCATTTTTAAATTTTAAAAAAATGAAAATTGAACCCAGATTTTCATTTTTCATTTTTCAACATTCAGAAAAAATGAATGACCCTAATATACACGAATTGTCGGAGTCTTAAAGTGGCCTAATTTTAAACCTGAAATTTGCTAAAATAACCTTCCTCACGTTTGCAAACAACGCCGCATGGAGAAATTTGGACACTTCCCATCAACATAACAACTCTTTTTCTTTCACTCGAAGATACATTAAGTGAAATAGCGAAACTCGTTGAAATGAAATAATTTTTAAAATCAGGAGTAGGTTTTCCCGATAACAAAAACTTAAGTATACCTGGTTTTTTGAAAACCGGGCTACTAAAAAATGTCAGTCTCTCACACTGATTGTTAATTTGATGGCCCTTGTTACTTGAAAAGTAAAATCTCACCTCAAAAAGAAATTATTGAATACATGAGCTTCCATTTGATAGAATCATCTGTCTTGAAAGTAACAAAAGTGAAGTTTTCCTCATTAATCTGGAAAATAAGGCATTTTAAGAAGCAATTTTTAGTGTCGGTGTCACCGATTGCAAAGCCAATACTATGAGGGGTGATAATGGGTTTCATCTTCATCAGAATAAAAACTCATTTTCATATCTCTTTCTTTTCACTTAGTCTTGTTTTGAAACAGAGGCTTGGGGAAACTCGGTAATGGCCTAGCCACTCAGCCGTGACAGGGTGGCAAGAGTTTCTTAGCTTTTTACCATAAAATTTCATGACTATGCCAGCTGTTTACTTCTTTTTGTTGACTTTTTGAGGTACGAGTTCAGTAATAAAGTTCACCAACTGGATGTATCTTTTTTCGATGAATAAATCAGCGTCTTGTTTACTTTCTCAAACAACCCGGAATTAAACTCACTACAGCTACAGCTAATTATTGCGTCGCGCAAAATACACAAATGATACAAGACGAAGGAACACTTGGCAAAAACTCTAACACGTCTTTGCACTTAATAGCTCTAGTAGTTCAAACCATCGAATAAATTCCAAACAAAGACTAAGCAAACTTTACGTTACAAAAGGTTACACTGTTATTCATCGCACTTTCAAGTTTCTTTTTCTTTTTTTTAACCCACGGAACTTTGTGAGCACTGAGCAACATATCAAAGTGGCGCCTTATTTAAACTGTACCGAGCCGTATCTTGGTCTGCTATATAGAAGCTATATCACCGTTCAAATATTAAAGTGTAAAATCTTTGAAAGAGTTCTCCTTACTGGAGCAATATGCAAACCTGAGGTTTTCAAGACGCCGGTGAAGATGTGCGACCTGTCACCCCTTGCAAGTTTT